TTTTCAATCAGACTTCGTTGTAATTGCACAAATAAACAGGCTAATGGATTCATCCTGAACTCATTTGAAGAGGTTTTTAAAGAGCACTTTGGCTTTTTATTGGAATTAGCTTATCCAGCTTTGGATTTATAAAAACCAGTTAATTGAGCTTATTTTCAGAAATATTTTTTAAATCTTTTTAAATAAAAAGATTAACTAAATCCTCCAGAAAGTTATTAGTGAAATTCATCCTACCTAATTCTGCTTTTTATTTCAGTAAGCCCTTTAAAGTGGCTTGTTACATTCCAATTAGTGAAAGTGTTCCTACATTAACTTGACTCTTGACTAGAAAGGCATGAAACGCTGATGACCTGCTGCCATCTAGTGGCAGTTAACAGCCAGTGTATTTTAAGGCTCCCTGGAGCCTTGGGTAACTTTGCTAAGGAGTCTTCTGGATGTAGTTGGTTAAACGTTGGTCTGCCTAAAAAAGGTCAGAGGTTGAAAAGATAAAGCTTCTGTAAAGATTTACAGACTTGGAAACCCTATGGAGCAGTTCTACCCTGTCCTATGAGTGGGCTTGGTTTTGGTTTGGACCTTTGCCGAGAAGCATCGGTGGTACTGCAGTTAAAGCACTCCTCTGCTAACCTAAAAGTCAGGTTTGAACTCACCAGCCTCTGCTTCCATACAGATGACAGGCATGGAAGCCCTATGGGGGCAGTTCTACTTTGTGCTAGAGGGTCACGATGAGTCCGAATCGGCTCAATGACACTGGGTTTGGTTGCACCTTTGCTACGAATCCCTGATGGCTCAAATGGTTGAATGCTTAGCTACTAAATGAAAGGCTGATAGTTCAAACCCACCCAGAGGCACCTTGTAAGGCAGGTCTGACAATCTGCTTCTGAAAGGTTACAGCCATGAAAACTGATGTAAAAAGCACAGTTCTCCTCTGACACACAAAGAGGGTTGCCAGGAGTCCAAATGGACTCAACAGTGGTTTGTTGTTAGGTGCCATTGAGTCAGTACCGACCCATAGCGACCCTATACACAGCAGAATAAAACACTGCCCCATCCTGGGCCAACCTCACTATTGTTGCCCCGCTTGAGCCCATTGATGCTGCCACTTGGCCAATCCATCTCGTTGGGGGTCTTCCTCTTTTTCTCTGACCCTCCACCTTATCAAACATGATATCCTTCTCCAGAGACTGGTCCCTCCTGACATTATGTCCGAAGTATGAGAGACGAAGTTTGGCCATCCTGGCCTCCAAGGAGCACTCTGGCTGCACTTCTTCCAGCACAGAACTGTTGGTTCTTTTGGCAGCTCATGGCACTTTCAATATTCTCCTCCAACAGTTTTTTCTTTTCTTTGGCTTTAGTACTAGTTTTACACCTTCAGTATTATTTTAACCATGACACTGGCCCTTAGTCAAGTGACCAGAAGATTCTTTCAACAATCTCACAACTATTAATGGGGCTATTCAGAGACAATAAAACATATTGTGTGGTGCTGCCTCTATCATCTTTACAGGTAAAATCGCATTTCATATAAAAACAAACCTCACTAGGAAAGGTCCTAAGTGACAACTAGATGAGGCTAAGGAACCAAGGGATAAGTCTGTTCTTTTACTTGACTTAAGAAGGGATATGGTTGTTTTTATGTGTAAAAGAATTGAAGAGTCACAAGACTGTTTTAGTACCAGTTAATCAAAATATTTTCCTGCTGCTGATGGGTTAAAGCATTGGACCACAAGGTTGGTTTGAACCATAAGGTCTGTGGTTCAAACTCACCAGCAACTCCTTGGAAACCCTATACAGTATTGCTCTGAGTCAGAAGTGACTTGACATCACTTAACAACAATAGGTTGCTTGTATGAAATCACTGGATACATTGAGAGGAATTGTTTTCATCTTTTTTAATCTCTTTTAAATTTTAAATTTCTTTTAAAGCATTAAGAAATATAGAGAAAAAGTAAAAAAATAATACATAATTGCTCCACCCAGTATGCAACTTTGTTGAAATTATCATGAATATCCAACCAACCTTTTCTCTGGGTATGCTATCTTTCTTTCTTTTTTTTTTTTTTTAAGTTTATATTGTGAATTGAGTATAGTTTACATGGGAAAACATCAGTTTTACACTCATCATTTCTTTACAATGATTACAATCCCCTCCTTTCATCATCTTTCAACAGCATTTGCTTCTATTCCCTCTGGGGGTTTTTTGTGCATAAAAACATCCAGGAATATATACTCATTTAAACAATCAAAGGGCACGTTCTGCAAGTCTGCCTCCTGGCCACCAGCACACAGCCTTTCTCTTTCCATGAGTCTAGAGTCCTCAGCTGCTCTATCTTTCCATGTCCTCATCTCTGCCTCCATCTCTGGTGTTGCTGCTTCACTTGATAAGGTCCCACATTCCACTCATGCACTTCTCCCTTGATGATTGTGTATGCTGTCTTTTAATGTGTCTTTTGGTGTGGTGCTGTAGGATAGGCAATGAGTTGCTAACCACAACAACGTACAGTTCAGGATCAAAAACAACTCAGGAACACCTCTTCTCTGCCATACTGTAGACACACCTTATTCGTGTCTTTGACTTCTCAGCCATGTGGCCTCTGTCCAGCTGGGACAAATGTTACAAAGCCCTTTTAGCTAGTCTGTGAATGGCCAAAGGGAACCTTCTGCAAGCCAGTCTCCTGCCTGCAAGCACACAGCCTTACTCAATCCATGGGCCTAGAGCCCACAGCTGCTCTGTCTCTCCATGCTACCGCCTCTTCTCTAGGTAGATCTCACCCTCTACTCATCTTCCTTCTTGATGGTCCTGGGATTATCGTTCCTGCTTCTGAGATGGTTCCTTTTAAACCTAGCAGGGATGGTAAAACTAACCAATCCTAGCTTTAGAGTCATGTACACCTTATTTGCATGATCCCACACAATCACTTGGTGGAAATTAAGAAGACATTGGCTTAAAAAGTCATAGTTAACTTGAATTTATCATAAAATTATATTGGCACTTTTCATCAGAAAATGAAAGCGATGAATATTTTTGCCCATTTTTATTAAATCTGTTTCGTTCCTTGACTAAGACTCCCAGTCTCTGGGCCTGGCTTTGTGATTGGCAGTGAAACAACTTATCAGTGTGAAGCAGGACTACTGATGAGCCTCTAGTGATAAACTGCTTAGTATGTCCCCATTGGGTCAGTGCCCACAGAGACTATTCAGACTCATAGCAACTATAGGACACAGTAGAACTACCCCATAGTGTTTAATAGGCTGTACTCTTTATGGTTGCGTAGTGGTTACGAATCGGGTTGCTAATCTTAGGGTCAGCAGTTTGAAACTACCAGCTGTTCTGTGGGAGAAAGATGAGGCTTTCTCATCATTGAGTTGGAACCAACTTAATGGTAGTGGGTTTGGTTTGGGGGTTTTTTAGCATATATCTTCACACACAGTCAGCTCTCAATAAATACTTACAGAAAGAAAAAAATAAACTGATCACACTGAGTTCTTCAGATGCCCTTAGATGATGGCCCTGTAGTCTAACAAAATTTGTTTTTGCTGCTTCGCCAGGTAACATACCCATTGACATTGAGTTGAATTCAACTTATAAGATTTTGGCCCCTGTAGAATTGAGTAGAACTGTCCCAAAGGGTTTCCAAGGCTATAAATCTTCACAAAGGAGATCCAATGGCACCAGAGCAGAATGCTTTGTCTTCCTCCCATGGAGTGGCTGGTGTGTTCAAACCACTGACCTTTCAGTTAACAGCTGAGCACCTGATCACTGCATCACCAGGGCTCCTGAGCAGATAACATATTGGATCTCACATTGAACCGAATCAGTTAGAAATGACTGTGACTGCTAGATGGAGCGATGGTAGAAGAAAAGTCTTCATCTTTCTTTTGGGCTGGGGACGGTTGTCATGTTGGCTGGGCTCTTTGTCTCTAGTTTGGTGTCAATCATAATGCATCTCTGGTGATTTCATGGCACAACAGATGCTGGGTCATGATGATGCAGCGGAAGGGCAAGAGAAACAGAAGAACGTGAGCTGGGGAGAGGCAGGGAGTGGAGTCTTAGCGCAAATGGGAAGCATTTATCAGAAATCACACATGAAATCTTGAGTCAGAAAGGAAAACAAGAGAGCAATTGCATCTTCATGGGAATATGTTGGGTAAACAGATGAATATATCTTTGTCGGCCTAATATCGTTAAGACTGGAATTTGATTGGACCTTAAGTCAGTCCACATTACAGCTCTAGTCTCCACATTAACAAAATTGTGTATGTGTGTGTGTTGCTTTGTTTAATTATGGTGAATAGGCATTCTGATGATGCAATGGTTAAGCTCTCAGCTGCTAACCAAAAGGTCGGCAGTTCAAACCCACCAGCTGCTCAATGGGAGACAAGGCCTGGAAACCTGCTGCCGTAAAGATTACAGCCTAGGAAACATTTTGTTGTTGTTGTTAAGTGCTGTTGAGTCAGTTTGGACCCATAACATCCCTATATAGGATTTCCAAGAAGCAGCTGGTGAGCTTGAACCGCCAACCCTGCAGTTCAAACTGACTTTGCAGTCCAGCGCTTAACCCACAGCGCCACACCAGGACTCCTAGGAGACATTAGAGGGCAGTTGTACTCTGTTCTTTAGGGTTTTATTGAGTCCAAATCAACTTGACAACATACAGCAACAGCAGGGTGAAAATGTACAAAACTAAAATTCACCAGCTTCTTCATTTCAGCACATTGATTACATTCTTCATGCTACGCAACCCTTGTCGCTCTCCTTTTCCAAATCATTCCTCCACTATTAACAGAACCTCAATGTTCTCTGAGAAGAAACTCCCTCATCCTCCCTCCCTGCCCCACCCCCGTAACCACCACTAATCTCTGCTTTCTCTATATTTGCTTATTTCATGTGACATCATATAGTATTTGTCATTTTACCACTTAAAGATTTTAAATTCATTTGTGTGGGCCTGCAGAGAAGGGATGTGTACCTGCACTTCACACCCCGATTGCTTTTCTTACAGGTCTGGCTGGCTTTGCTCGTCTCTGTCCTGGAGATCAATATGAAGTAAGTGCCACGTGGGTTGAGGTGTGGACACTGAGGACATGAAAGGCAGACCAGGTGTCGTTATTTTGCCTCTTAAGCTGGATTTCTGGTGTGATGCTGTAGGATTAGCACTGGACTGCGAACCACAAGGTTGGCAGTTCAAACCCACCAGTGCTCCTCGGAAACCCTATGTAGATATGGTCACTATGAGTTAGAATGGACTCAACGGCACTTAAGAACAACAAAAACTGTTTTCTAGTCAATTTCTTTTTGTTTTAAACCAATAAGAACATTTTGAGATTGGTTTATGAATGAACATAAGACTCATGAGCGAAGAATAATGTCTAGCCCTTTCTTTATAAAATGTACTGTATGGCACTTACCTAGGGAAATTAGCATATATAAGTTAGGTGAATAAAAGTAGGAAGCACAGGGAGGAAGCAGGATGACTGTTGTTACATGGAGGGGATTGCAATCATTGAGGTGACACAAAGCATATGATTTGTTGAACGTAAAATGATCTTGTCTGCACATCTTTATTTGACAATAAAAAGTAAAACAAACAAAAAAATGTACTGTACGAAGTGAATGGGGTGCATTTTCTCCTTCCCAAAGTGAATCTATGTAATAATTCCACCTAGCTATTGTCTCCAAAATCCTCTACAGTCATACCTATTGGAGGGGGAAGTATCATCCCCCAAACATGACAGTTCTCTGATTGTGGAGAGACTGTATTCCCTCGCCCCAGAGTATGTTGGATTGCCAAATCCTTGTCCAGCTTCGTCTTCCTCATCCAGAGGGAGGATGTCTTATTCCTTGCTTCTGACAGCTAAATATGTACCTAAGTATGTATCTCAATGATGGTTTCTTATTTCTCCAAAGGAACTGGGAATTGCAGAGAATTAATCCCAATGTCTATAGAATCAACTAAAAAGACCTATTTGACATGAATAAGCAGAAAGGCACAGAGCAATGCCTTTTACTCAAGAAAACCCTCCACTCCTTGTCCTAGAAAAGCAGAACTTACTCCCAAGTCTCGTTCCGCCTCAGTATTTGCCCCACCCTGCAGCACCCAAAAGTTTGGGGGAAATGAATAATATCACAGTGCAGTAAGGATGACAGAGAAGGGGAGAAACGGTGGTTGCTGTATTTACTCACTCTATGATCATGGTGTTTGGTTGGGGAAGATGGGTGAGGGCAGTGGACCATGAAGGCCTTTTGATGTCTTCTCCCCAGATTTTCATGAAGTATGGCCGACAGAGGTGGAAACTGAAGGGCAAAATAGAAGTCAATGGCAAACAGAGCTGGGATGGGGAAGAAATGGTGTTCCTGCCACTGATAGTTGGCTTAATCTCCATCAAGGTAGAGTGTCGCCATTGTCTTGTTGCCTTTCCTTGTGCCGTGGCTGCATGGTCTAACAAAGCAGATCTTTGCCCGTAACTTCTGCGTGCTGACCCTCTATCCACGGACTTTTATCTGCACTCTAGGTGCAGAAATAAATGTAAGATGGGCTTTGAAAATAGCTGCTTCTGATTTCAGATTTGGAAGTCCCTGGGTGATACAAAGACTTAAAGCGCTTTGCTGCTAACTGAAAAGTTAGAGGTTACAGTCAAACCAGAAGCACCTTGGAAGAAAAACATGTCAATCTACTTTAAAAACAAAAACAAAAAACCAGCCCTTGAGAACCCTATGAAGCACAAGTTCTACTCTGACATACATGGGGTCACCATGAATGGGGGTCAACTCAGCAGCAACTGGTCAACGGGACTTCAGATGTGATTCTGAAGCAACCCAACCAGAAAAGGGAAAAGGACATCCTACTCTTCCCCTCTTCTGTCATGTAAGCTCTTTCTCCCTCTCCACTAGGTCACAGAGCTCAAGGGACTGGCAACTCACATCCTGGTGGGCAGCGTGACCTGCGAGACCAAAGAGCTGTTTGCAGCCCATCCTCAGGTGGTGGCTGTCGACGTCAATGATCTTGGTACCATCAAACTGAACCTAGAAATCACTTGGTAGTAAGTTGCCCTTTCCAATTTCATCCTGTAGAAATAGCCTCTATAAGCTAGGACTATTCAAAGGGTGGGCCGTGGACCATTAGCATCTCCCGGGAGCTCCTGGCAAGATCTCTAGCACCGCCCCACACTCCGTGAGTCAGGATCCAGTTTCTAGAGCCACCAGGTGGTGCTTTTGAATGCTAAAGTTGGAGAAACTTCTGTTAACATCTCTACTATCCTTCTACATTTCCTAGTTCCCTCCTTCTCTACCTGTAAGTAGGGAGCACAGTGGTTCTGTAGGATAAGCACTGGACTGTTAACCACAGGGTCAGAGATTCAAGTACACCAGCCATTCCAAGGGAGAAAATGAGGCTTTCTACTCCCACAAAGACTTACCATCTGAGAAACGCTATGCAGGGCCACTGTGAGTAGGAACCAACTCAGTGGCATTTAACAACAATACCTCTGTTGTTGCTGTTGTTGTTACATGCCATCAGATCAATTCCAACCCATGGCAACCCTGTATAGAGTTTCCAGGGAGTGGTTTGTGAGCTTAAACTACCAACCTTGAAGTTCAAACTGACCTTGCAGTCCAGCGCCTTAACGCACAGCGCCACACCAGGACTCCTCAATATTTCATGTTTCTATTATCCGTATGAGAAAACAGATCCATCTAGGTGCAGATGGCCAATAACGTGTATCTAAAGCTGGGATCATAATCTGTGGTCTCTTGAGTGGGTTCAGAGTCAGTCTTCTGCTCTACTATCTTTTATCTTGGTTTATATTCTGACAAACCAATTTGACCAGAAACTGCCCAGTCCCCACTAGTTTGAGATTACTTTAGTGTAGCGAGCTGGCCTGTGGATTATAGGTGAATTTAACATATGGGTGTCTCTTGTCTTGCAGTCCATTTGACGTGGAGGATGTGACCCCATCCTCAGGCACTGGGAACAAGGCAACTGCTCTCCAGCGGAGAATGTCTGTGTACAGCCAGGGCACCCCAGAAACACCCATCTTCAAAGACCACTCCTTTTTCGTAAGTTCAGTGTGATCCCTGGGGCTGACAGTGAGCCTGAGCAAGTACCTGCTTCCAGGATTTGAAATGCTCAGTGTATGATGTTCGGGCATCCCAATAATCCCTAATATTATTATTAACAGGCCACCCTCATCCACTGTCACTAAGGAAACCACCTTCATATACGTACAGGTGGTGAACGTCTGTCTGCCCTTTCCCCTCACCAGCTTCACCTGATGCTTTGATAATGACACGTAGACTTCACTGACCCTCCTGTAGTATCAGCCTTTTAACAAAGTTGATGTACTAAATAACGTCCTCCTTGTTTTAATCCAAAATGCTTGCTTAGAAGCTAACAAAATGTGCCGACCTAATGCTTTCCACTAACTCCTGGATCTTGCTTTGACTTCTGAAGAAATGGTTGCATCCTTCACCAGACAGGCCAAGGCGGCTGTCTGTCTTGAGTGCCTTGCAAGACACTTTCTTTGCCAAGCTGCAACGCAGCCGCTCTTTCAGTGACCTGCCCTCCCTCCGGCTGCGCCCCACGGCCGTGCTAGAGTTTTATGTGAGTGGGGCCTGCACGGGTGTGACGTGCTTGAATTTGGGGGGCTTGGGGCATGGACGCTTTGGCATGGCTCTTGTTTTATCTTCTCCTTTATTTGGCTCGTTGGGTCGGGGGAATGATTGCATCTGTTCTGTCCTTGGGTAGGAAACGGCTGTGCATGCAGTTCTGTACAATAGGTTGTTTGTCCTTTGTGCTGTGACAAAGATATCCATGGTAACAAGATATGTTTTTTCAAAAAAATAACAATGATCCTTAAGGTCAAAGGAGATTGTCTTTCTGAAGTTAAAAGAGCTTGCCCCAGGTACTGGCCTGTAGGCACCATTATAGCATGAAAAGTAACATTCAAGGAACTCAAGAGTATTTAAACTAAGCTTTCTAGAGCTGTATTTAAAGAGGATCTTAGTCTTAATCTGTGTTGTTGTTAAGTGCTATCCAGTAGTTTCCGACTCATAGCAAACCTGTATAGGGTTTCCAAGGAGCAACTGGTGGGTTTGAACCGCCAACCTTGTAGTCAACAGTTCAGTGCTTATCCTAGAGCTACACCAGGACTCCTGGTTTGTTATGCTGCCTGTTAATTTAATACCTTAATAAAAGATATCATTTATTTGGTATCAGGAATGCTTTATGTAAACTTCATTACATGTGCCATACACATCATGACAGTATGTGTGTGCACACATGTATGAACACATGCAAATATATGTGTGTATATGTGTATGTGTAATAGTCTGCTTTTTCAGACATAAAAGAGTAATCTTTGACTGTCCAGAGAGGAAAGAATGAAACGTTTTCTAACTAATAATTGCATCTTATTCATTGAGTTTTTTAAAAAAACAACAACACTCATATATGAAAAGGAAAAGCCAGGCTAAACCCAAGTAATATTTCAAAAGCTAAATGGGAAGACTATATGGAGGGAAGGTGAGGGAGGGGAATGCATGAAGATATATTTTAAAAAAAAAAAGCACTCAGTTTAATGTGTATTTTCACACTCATATGCTCCAAATGTGGGGTGGGCAGTGGGGCTTGGTAGAGGTTTTAATAGCATAATTTAAACAAGAGAAAGATTAGAAAACATGTAATGGCTTTCTAATTAATGCCTTTGGGTTAGACATGAAGGCCCTTGGAGTGGCCAGTTCTGCTCTGACCCAGTCCACGTCTCTAGACCCCCATCTCACTCTCTACTCTTTATCTTCTGCTTGATTCACTTGGAACAGTACCTCCAAAGGCACCATGGCCTCAAGGGTTCAGGATCTCAAGCCTTTGCACTCACTGTTTTCTCTTTCTAGCATGGTGGTATCCTCCTCTTCCTATCCTAGACCTCTCCATCCTCCAAGGCTAAGTTCTTGTACCATCCCTTTCTCTGGTGGTGGCCTCCCCTTGCTGGAGCTTTTACCTCATTCTATTCACACTCAGTTTTAACAGACATGGCATTGTACTGTCATGTGTCTATTTACAAACTTGTGTTCTTGGTAGACTGTAAGTCTTCTTGGGCAGGCCATCTCAATTTACTCTAATGCAGTATTTACCACATGTTGTTATTGTTGTTAAAGTGCTGTTGAGTAGGTTCCGAACCATAGCCACCCCATCTATGGTTTCCAAGGAGTGGCTAGTGAGCTTGAATCACCCACCTTGTGGTTCAAACTGACTTTGCAGCCCAGCGCATTAACCCACAGTACCACTGGGTGTATATCAGGTTTGGAAAATGTCCAACTCAAGAGAGAAGGCTGAGGAAGACTCCAGAATCTAAACAATAATCTTGACTTCACAGTCCTCCCTCAGAGCTGCCAAGAGACGTGTGGATGTAGGATCACATATGAAGGCCCAGAGGTTCTGTGAGATGCCTAAAGGACCCTCAGGGAGGAGGTCTAGAGAATAGAACTCCAGGGCCCCCCCACACATATCCCTCTCCCCAAAGCTGCTCTTTCTTATCTTCCCTAGAAGAATAAAGTGTATGAGGGGACTTCTAAAAGTTCATGTTAAAATCTCGTTATCTTTTATTTAATTTCCCAAAAACTTTTCTGAGTCCCCGCATATGTATAGAGGGTCTACTAATAAAGAAAAGAGGATATAAGCACGGAGTTGCTTGATTGGGAGTTCTGGGTAGTACAAATGATTAATGCACTCAACTACTCACTGAAAAGTTGGCAGTTCTAGCCCACCCAAAGACACTTTGAAACAAGAGATGGCAATCTAATCCAAATACAATCAGCCACTGAAACCCTATGATGCATAGTTCTGCTCGTACACATGGGATCACCAGGAGTCAGAAATGACTCCAACACTTTGGAGTCAAACATTTTCTCAGCTGGGGATGGAAGAGAGGAGGTTTGAAGCCCAACCGTTTTTGCAGTTCCTGAAGGGAGTCCATAGAATGCCTTCATCTAAGACTTCCTGGAACTTGATAGTCAAAAACCACTGTCGGTTTTAGAGGTAAAGGAATAGAGCCTGAAGAGGATGCTCGGGTACTCCACAAATGTGTCCCTTTACTCATCCTGCATTTACAATCACCACTTACTGACCAACGAGAGTAGACATTGTGAGTTGAGCTAGTGGTCTCAGACTCAGCAGGAATCATGCCACAGAAACTGCCTGGAGGAGGACGTGAACCCATGCTTTCTGTTTGCTCCCCATTTGCTACACCTTTATTTGCAGGGTTTATCCCTAGCACCACTGTGACGATTCACTGTTCAATATATAATAGGAGTAGGTATTAGCTTGGTACTTATCAGTGACTTTAAAAACCTAATCAGGAACCCCAGAAAGATAATCCCTTTTGAGGTGCTTCATTTCAAATCCCTAGAAAGTGTTTCCCATAGAGCAACATTTGAACCTGTAAGCAGTTTACACAGACGACAGTGTAAGGAAGGATGACGTAAAAACTGTTGTAAGGCTTGCATATATGAATGATCTTGGTTACCTGGATATTGCTGGTCTCTCTCTTCAGAGTTCTCCTTCATGAAGCACAAGCTTACCTGTGAAACAGCCTACGTGTGCCAGATACAGGGCTTGATTGTTCTATACCCTGAGAGCCCTGGGGTTTGCATTCCTGGGAGATGGATGTTCTGTTTCTTAGTATTTTTCTTCAGTTTTTAAAAATATATCTATAGAAGCTATGGAAATGTATTGCTGGCCTTGCATTATTTATGGCATGGTTACTAAATTAATAAAACATTTTCAAGGGCTTGGGATCCATGGGTAGAGATTTTTAAACACTAATTTATGAGTGTTTAAATTATAAACTGCGGAAGCAGTACCGAAGCATCACATCTCTGGTGTGAAATCGTATGAACGTTGGAAAGTCTTTCCAGAAAGATGCATAAAAAACAGCAACAGCATGATTCATAGCCACGGCTGCCAAATACGGTGAGATTGTAAGATCTTGAAAACAAGCACTTCCCCCACCTTTTCTTTTGAAAAATGTCAAACTTAATACACAAATCGAAAGAATAACACCATGAACTTAAATGTGGAGTCAACAGTGGAAACAGGATTTTTAATGGCTTGTTTTCTTTTGCCTCTCTCTCACACACACATCAACAAATAACATATTAATATTATGAAGGTTCTGGTGTGTTTTATTTTTAGCATTTTAATTGCCTTCTATTTTGACTGGAAATAGACCATGTCAAATGTGTCATTTGCATTTTAAATAATAATGAGGCATCTTTTTTCCCCACAGTCTAATCTTAATCTGCCTGATGACATCTTTGAGGATGGAAAGGCAACTGAGGGGAAAACATCACTGTCCTTCAGCTTCAAGGACCTGCCCAATGGAGACTGTGCCCTGCCCTCTAACTCAGCTGGCTCTCCCTCCAAGATATGCCCAGCAAACCCAGAAATTACCATCACCCCTGCAGAGCTGAACCACAGTGGCCTGTCCTCCCAGAATGAGGGTACAAACGACACTAGCTCAGCATCTTCCAGAAGCTCCTCAGCAGAAGGCCAAGAGGCAAAGTCATACAGAGAGGAACACGCAGTTCATGAGGCCTGCCCTCAGTTCATTGAGAAGGATGTTGCAGAGGCACTTCTGCAAGAGTCCGATGAGGCCTCTGAACTCAAGCCTGTAGAACTGGACACTTTTGAAGGCAACATCACGAAGCAGCTGGTCAAGAGGCTGACCTCTACGGAGGTGCCGGTGGTCACGGAGAGGCTGCTCTTTGAAGGTTCTGTCAGTGGGGAATCTGAAGGCTGCAGATCCTTTCTAGATGGAAGTTTAGAAGATGCCTTTAATGGGCTTTTCCTTGCATTAGAACCACATAAAGAGCAGTATAAAGAGTTTCAGCATCTGAACCAAGAAGCCATGCATCTGGATGATATTCTGAAAGTAAGTACCTTCTTAAGGAAGTTGAATTAGGTTTGGAGGGGAATGTCTGAACCAATATTCTATTTAAGATTGTAGTTTTTGTTACGTGCTGTGGAGTTTTTATTTTTATCCTGTTTCATCACAGAATCATTAGGTGATAGGACATTTAAATGCTATTGACTTTTGGTATCAACAACACATAATTGTCCTAATAGGAAATCAACTTAGCCAAAAAGATTGTTGTTGTTGTTAAGTGCCACTGAATCAGTTCCGACTCACAACGCTGTATAGGGTTTCTGGGGAGCAGCTAGTGAGTTTGAACCACCGACCTTGTAGTTCAAACCGACCTTGCGGTTCAGTGCTTATCCTACAGCGCCACAGAGCTAAAGAACATTTAAGGAACGCTTGTGGTACGTGGTTAAGCCCACGGCTGCTTAATGGACAAGTTGATGGTTAGAACCTACCAGCTGCTCCACAGGAGATGGATGTAGCAGTCTGCTCCCAGAAAGATTTACAGTCTTGGAAACCTAGAGAACGATTCACTTTGTCCTGTAGAGCTGATATGAGTCGGACTTGACTTGACAGCAAACGACAATAACAACAGCAAAGAATGTCTACGGTCCTTCAGTGCAGAATTACTAAGTCTATCTGCACCTGTGAAACGGTAGCAGTTTGATCGTCACAACATCCCTGAGATGTGTCTGGACAGGGTCCCTCCCTGGGAGTACCTGGGAAACAAGGAATCTGGCCCCTGATTAGAGTCAGAATTGTCAAGTCCCAATGGGAGAACTGTGAGTGTCCTTTCACCCACAACACTGCCTGCCAGAGGAGTCCCACCTGCTGAACTTGGCCCAAATCAGCTTGTGAGCAACTTAGGATCATCTTGAAGGAAGGAATGAATAATCATCAACCATTAGTTAAGAAGCTGAGGAGCATCAGACTCCATCAAGACTTTCTTCCTCAATCCTTCCTGTCAGAACAGGCCGGGTAGAAGCACAAAGATGCAGTGAGCACGGATGCTTTTCTCCTCCTGTGAGAGGTCCTATGAGATTCTTACTTCTCTAGCACACATGGATCAAACTGTAAAAACACTCCAGACAACACTTCAGTGTATGTCTCAAATCCCCCTGTCGAATCCCTGCTGTACCACTCTAGTCTGTATTGCCCTCCAGAGAACTCAGATCCTTTTCCTGAAAGAGCAATTCTTTGGGGGCCTCTTCTATAAAACATGCTTGGAAGTGATGTTACAATGACAAGCCAAAAATCAGCCCACAAAATCGCCCACAAAAATCAGCCCACACAACTTTGGATGGCTGTTTTAGGATGTGGCCTTCCCTGTGGCATCTGGAACAACCTTTCCAAGACTTTTCTGACAACTGTGTCCTCCTCTGTTCAGCCATGCTAAGACCTAGTTCTGGGAGGGATTTGTGTCCAGGAAGATGCTATTTCCTGCTTGGACTCTCTGGACCCTCTCATGCTCATAATAGATGAGTTCAGCTGTAGGCATCACATCTGAAAAGCAGAGAAATGCACTCTGGATGTTTTCAGCAAAGGACAACTAGAAAGCTTCCACCCAGGACTCATTCATCGGGACTGTTTGTCTGACACTCCAGTGAAAACGTCTGTTCTCTCCTAGACAAGCTTTTGTCTCTTTCACACCATCAGCTGGCTTTACTTCTCGTGCAAAATATTTTAATTCCAACGAGCTAAGATACAAATTGACCTCACCTTAAACAAATGCCCTAAAGAAAGTCAGTAGGGATGACAACTCTTATTGCCAGGCATCCTTGGTAGTGCATATGGTTAAATGCTCAGCTGCTGACCAAAAGGTTGGTAGTTCAAATCCACCTGGTGGTTCTTCAGGGGAAAGACCTGGCAATTTGCTTCCATAAAGATAACTGCCTACAAAGCCCTATGGGGAAGTTTTACTCTGTCATGTGTGTTTGCTGGAATTAGAGTTTAAAAAGTACATGCAGGGAATGTAAAATTCAGATGTAAAGCCTCTTACCTGGGGATCATGAGCTAGGCAAGTCTGAGTTGGTTTTCGTCTCTGGGATTTATCCCATTACTCCTTTAGCATTAGTGCCTTGGATGGCACCAAACAACAACAGTATGCTGATAAGTGACTTCATCCTCCAGGTAACACTTAAGCAAATCATCTGCTCATCTTACACGTATAAACCCTGTGATCACAGATTTCTTTCTAGAGAGTTTTTTCAGCCTCCAAAACTTTTTGCTACAAAACTATCCTGCCACTAAAATTCTCAACTCGACTTCTTTGTTATGAATTACATTCAACCACACCCACATTGTATAAGAACCAGTTCTACAGACAGCTAGCTTACAATAATTTAAAAACCAAAACCAAACCCGTGTTGCTGTCAAGTTGATTCTGATTCATCCCAGCTCTATACCAAGTGGACTTCAAAAAGTTTGTGGAAAAGCTTCATTAGCTTTTCATTCCATTGTTTTTTTCCCATTAACTTTTAGAATATACCTCTTCTAAAAGTTAATGAAAATCTCAAAGTGGGTTGAGAATCCTGAGAGTTGCAAACAGTTAAGTACTCAGCTGCTAAATGAAAGGTTGGTATTTCGAATTTACCCAAAGGTGCCTTAGAAAAAATGCCTGGCAATCTGTTTCCCCCAAAAAAATCACCCATTGGGACCCTATGGAACACAGTTCTACTATGACACACATGAGATCACCATGTGTCGGAGGCGACTTGACGGCAACTGTTTTTGATTTTTTTTCCTTTAGAAGTGGGTTGAGTTTGGCCTGGCTCTTTCTCTCCTTAGAGATTTCGGATATGATCAGAATTTAGGTCTGGGGCAAGTGGCTTTGGATCCAGCCAAAATTAAAGCTTCAGCTGGACAAAGCTTTCTCTTTTTTTCCCCTTCACATTCCTAGGATGCTAAACATCTTGAGGATCAGAAACTAAATGATGCTGCCTCTTGGACGGAGATCACTGAGGGTGAATGAGACAACTGTGCTCTAAAAGACTGAAAGCCGGTTCCCCATGTGCTTTTGTGCCATCTTGAGTGTCAGAGACAGAGCCCGGCAAAGCCCTTCCCACCCTGTGTTAAGAAATCAGCGAGCAGTGCCACTGAGTGGATGGAGGACATTTAGTTCTTCTTCCTTGCAGAACTTACCCGTTCCATCCGCCACAGCGTCCTCTTGAACATTTGGAAGTACTTCTCTCTGTTATGGTTCCCCGAACAACTGGCATTATTCTGTTTGTAATGTTTCTGTTTGTGACCAGCAATATAAATTCTCCAGGCCATAGAGTGGGTTTGTTCATGTAGTTCCAGGGTCTGGTCTGGGAAGAGATAGGATTTGTTCCTTCAAAGCAGCGCTCGTGCCATTCATTTTCTTCTTAGTTCTCAAAGAAAAAGTACATGCAGTGAACGTAAAATTCAGATGTAAAGCCTCTTACCTGGGGATCATAAGCTAGGCGAGTCTGAGTTGGTTTTGTCTCTGGGATTTATTCCATTACTCCTTTAGCATTAGTGCCTAGGATGGCCAGCTCCTATCTCAGGACATTGAAGTCATTGCCACTTGGAATTAGACATTGGTTAGTAACTGGCATTGACTCAGCAATTCTTATTTTTGTTTGTCTGCATTTTATTTGGGGTTGAGCCCTAGGCAGAAGGAGCACGGCAGTTATGCTTCCTGGAGGTAATATTTTGTTAGCTTTTGACTATGGAAAGTTTCCAACAGAAGTACAGAGAAATTATACAGTGATTCCCAATATGTCCACCCACCAGTGTCCACAATTACGAACTCATGGCCAATCTTGTTCCATCTCTTCTTCTGCCTGCTTCCTTCCTTCTGGATTACGTTGGAACAAATCCCAGATATTGTGTAATTTATTTTCTTCATGATTGTACCTCTTTAAAAAAAAAAAAAAAAAAACTAAAGATTTTTACATGCATTAAAAAGTGCCAACAAAAAATAATAATAATAAAAATTCAAAAGAAAGAATTGAAAGTATTTGCATCTCAAATCTGGTGTCTTGAGTTTCTGCTTCTCTTTTCGAATGTGTTGATGTTCTCGGTACCTTCTGCTTTTGCAGTGCAAACCACCTGTAAGCCGCAGCAGGTCGTCCAGCTTAAGTCTTACAGTTGAAAATGCTTTAGAAAGCTTTGATTTCCTGAACACCTCTGATTTTGATGAGGAGGAGGATGGTGAGGAGGTTTGTAATGTTGGAGGAGGTGCTGACTCAGTATTTTCAGACACTGAGACTGAGAAAACTAGGTAAGTCTGAAGTTAGTCTTTGCTTATAGTTTTCCTATCTAGACAAAGAAATGGTTCTTTGCGCCTATCAGTGGGAACCTGATGCCCATCTCTGAAAAGTTTAAACCCCCCTATTTAAATGACCCAGTGCCTTTTTGTTATCAAGGACAACTTGTAAATATTGTCCACCTCTCTGGGCTGTTTAAGGGGAAGTTGTCTTGTT